CGGTGCCGCAGATCGGAGATTCGTCAGCAGTGGTCTGCCAACCGCACATGCGCGTCAGGCATCTCAAGCCGTTGTACAGAGAGAGACTCACCTCTAGAACGATCAGCCATCGAAATCAACAGTCACTGAGATTTCTGAAAAGGTAGTGTCCTATCGATGTAAAAGACCAGTGCTCTGTGCACATCTAATGTATGAAGTGTGGTGTCATATTGGGAGGAGTGTGGCTTGCTGTAGAAGGTAGGGAGGATGATAGGCTAGTTGATGTGAAAGTCCAAGTTTATTTTTGGCAGGAAGGATGGTTGAAGGTGGAGTATAGCCCCCTGACTTGTAAATACTGTATAGGGAGGTGTAGCGGAGAGAGAGGTGAGCTTCCCTACCCGACATGCAGACGTTATAGCTAACAAGAAGGCAATCTAGGTGGTTAATAGCAACAGAAGGCAGGTCACCAAAAGCTCCAAAGGTGGTCGCATTAGGGCATCCAAGACAAGTTCTAAATTACATGGATCATAGACTCACAGAGCTGGAAAAGACCAACTAAATCAACCCGGCCAGGGCTTTGTCAAGCCGGGACTTAAACACCTCTAGGGATGGAGACTCCACTATTTCCCTAGCTAACCCATTCCAGTGCTTCACCACCCTCCTAGTGAAATAGTTTTTCCTAATATCCAACCTGGACCTCCCCCACCACAACTTGAGATCTTTGCTCCTTGTTCTCCCATCTGTCACTACTGAGAACAGCATTCTCAATCCTCTTTGGAACCTTCCTTCAGGAAGTTGAAAGCTGCTGTCAAATCCCCCCTCACTCTTCACTTCTGCAGACTAAACAGATCCAACTCCCTCAGCCTCCCCCCATAGGTCATATACTCCAGCCCTCTAATTATTTTGGTTGCCCTCCGCTGGACCCTCTCCAATGCGTCCACGTCCTTTTTGTAGCAGGGGACTCAGAACTGGACACAATACTCCAGATGTGGACTCACCAGAGCCGAATAAAGGGGAATAATGACATCTCTGGATCTGCTGGCAATGCTTTTCTTAATGCAACCTAATATGTCATTAGCCTTCTTGGCTACAAGGACACACTGTTGACTCATATCCAGCTTCTTATCCACTGTAACCCCCAGGTCCTTTTCTGCAGAACTACTACTTAGCTGGTTGGTCCCCAGCCTGTAACAATGCTTGGGATTCTTCCGTCCCAAGTGCAGGACTCTGCACTTGTCCTTGTTGAACCTCATCAGATTTCTTGTGGTCCAATCCTCCAATCTGTCTAAGTTACTATGGACCCTATCTCTGCCCTCAACCGTATCTACCTCTCCCCCTTGCTTAGTGTCATCCGCAAACTTGCTGAGGGTGCAATCCATCCCCTCATCCAGGTCATTAATAAAGATATTGAACAAAACCGGTCCTAGAACCGAACCTTGGGGCACTCCGCTAGAAACTGACCGCCATCCTGACATGGATGAAGTGGTTCTCTGCATGGTGAGTAGAGATTTGCTACCCCTTTCATGAACCTCCTAGTGATTGGGTCAGCAAATGTAGAATACCCCTTTACTGGCTGTCGGAAGGCGGTGATCCCAGCGAGGTTAACCTTGAGAGAAGACAACGCTAGGCCAGAATATTTTAAATGTAGGATGTAGTCCAGAATGCAATGGATGGGAACAGAAGTTGGGTCTAGACTGTTATCAGTGCACCAGGAATAAAATCTATGCCGCTTGTGCAGGTAAGTAGTGGTGGGCCTTCTGCTCTGGAGCAGGATATGTCTAACATCCTGGGAACAAATCATTTCCGAATCTCGGAACCAACTAGGAACCACACTGTGAGGCAAAGGTGGTTGGGTTGGGGGTGCACCAGTGTTCCTTGGTCCTGGCTCAACAGGTTGTGGCGTCTGGGTAGGCGATAGGGTGGGTGAGGAGATATGTGAAAAAGATAAGGGAGCCATGTCTGATGCGGCCAAAAGGGCACTATGAGAATTACTGTTGCATTGTCCCTGGAGATCTTTTCTAAGACTCTCTGTATCATGGGAGTCAGGGGAAAGGCATAAAGCAGGTGAGCACTCCAGTTGAGGAGGAATACATCTATAGGTCTATAGTCAGGAACCCCCAGAGGTGGAAGACATGATATAGCACCCAATAATGTAGTTCCCACTCATTGTTCGTAACAAAATACCTACTAAGCGATCAGTAGTGATGTTGTTTTTGCCAGATAGGTATGATGCTAAACTCGTTCTGTCGTGGCAGATACACCAGTTCTGTAGGCATATTGCCTCTGCACAGAAGGAGTGCGACTGAGCACCTCCCTGACAGTTTATGTAGAAAACTGGTCATGTTGTCAGTAAGCACCCTGGTAGTGCGGCCTCGGATAATGGCAAGAAAGTGCTTGCATGCATTGAAAACGGCTCTCAGTTCTAGGAGGCTGATATGGTAGAAGGCTTCTTGTATGGACCAGCAGTTCTGAATGCAATGACCGTTGAGATGTGCTCCACAACCTACCAATGATGAGTTGGTTGTAATTTGGATCGTGGGTTGAGGTCGATGGAAGGGTACACCTGCTAACATGTTGGCGGGGATGGTCCACCAACTCAAAGACTTCACCACTTTTGGTGGTACCGCAATCCTCCTGTGAACATCGTGTTTGCCAGGAACGTAGACCATGGCTATCCAGTGCTGGAGGCACTGTAGGTGAAGCCTGGCTTGCGCTAAGACATATGTGGTAGATGCCATGTGCCCCATGAGTTGAAGGCATGTAAGTACAGAAATCGTGGGGCTTGTGGAGAGGACCTGTACCAGACTTTGGATAGCCCAAATTCTGTTTAACAGCCGATAAGCTCGGACAGTAGATGAATCTAGTTTTAATGTCGCCGGTGTGCCCTTGCCTCCCTCCCATGAAGCTGGAGCTAGGGGGAACTGGCTTTTAAGCTGGCCCCCCCCCCCCCCAACACCTCCTTTTCTCTCCCCCCCAGCTGCCTCTTTCTGATACAGGTGGGGGGGGGGGGAAGCGACTAGTCAAGTAGTCAATTAGTCACTTACATCCCTAACTGGAAGACCCCAATATTTAGAGGCAGAACGCTATGAAGGCCCTTCCACAATGGGTAACTTTTCACTATGCAGCATGACAGCACAAGGAAATCTTGCTCACTGAGAAGATTTCCCTTGGTTCAGACTATAATAGGCAGGGCTGAAGCTCATCTGGCTTTTAAAGCAAAAGAATGGCAGAGGCTCTATTCCTCAAGATACTCCCATACAGACAGCTTATCATCTCTACTATGAAACACATCTTAGAACTGTACTCCTGTCTCAAAGTAGATTGATCTTTTCACCAGTATGCTCCCTTTTTTTTCCCTCTGATGATAAACTTTAGTTTAGGTTATAAATTGGCTACAAGTGTGTATATGGGGTGAGATAGGACATATTCATTAACCTGAAAGTATTCAATATTCTGAAGGTAATGCATCTGATCCTTTTGGATTGGTAGAACTTTCTTATATGATGAATAAGATCTTCAGCAATCCTCCTCATATTTGACCTGGGTGGAGGGCTGAGGATGGATTGCATTAAACAAGCTATTGTTGGCTTCTGAGTAAGGTATCACATAAGCTGTTTTGTACTGGCTTGGTAAATGTTTGGGAAGTGGTTCCCCCATTCTTTGCAGTTCACCCTAATTGAGTAACCTAAAATTAACTGTGAAGAGTGAATTCTAGAACTAGAAAAGGCAGCTCAGCTTTTATTTACCATTCTTCATGAATGAGAGTGGAAGTAGGGTGCCCACGAGATTATCACTGACTAACATTGTAAAATGTATGCTATTCATTTTTAAATGCATGAAGTGAAAAAACCCACAAACCTGTGGATACTTAGAGACCCCAGGGGGGTCGTGACCAAGTTACAGGGAGGTCGCAGCTGCAGGCTTCCCCGGGGTCCTTCTCGCCACTTCCAGGGATTCCGGAAGTGTGCCCCCCTCCCACAGCTGCAGAGCGCGGTGCCGGCGGCTTCCCTGCAGCACAGTGACTGCAGGAGGGGTGAGTCAAGCGAGAGTGGGGGGCCTTTTTTTTTGCGATTAATAACCTTCTTTGGCTCCCCTTTCCCCCCCCTTTTTTTGCTTAACTTTCTTTGGCTCCCTCCCCCCCCCCCTTTTTTTTTTTGCTTAACAACTTTGGTGGGGTCACACAAATTCAATGAGCATTTTAGGGGGTCACGGTATCAAAAAGTTTGAGAACCCCTGCCATAGGGGGAGAGCCATAGGGGGGAGAGCCTGAAGGAAGAGGAGAAGAGAACTAACACCACCAGTTCTACCGGAGGAGTGACACCTGAAATTCATTCTACAATGATATTCACTGTGATAGGAAACCATAGTGGAAACTACATTCAATGCACTGAAGGAGTTTATATTTTTTTAACCAAAAAGGATGCAAAACAACAGAAAGACTGGGGTGACCCATGCTTTGGTGTCCTCATTAAAGCACTGCTAAACACAAGTGTATGTTTAGATAGTGTTTTTAACAAGAGCTGTAGACATAAATTCCTTCGTGATCTTGAACCCTTCTCAGTAAGAGATAGATTAATTACCACAGCCTCTCTTTTCTTTGTGTTTAATTTCATTCATCTGCAGTCAGTGACCTGCATTGAGATGCTTCACTGTACTGTGGCTGTATTAAGGCAATGCATGGGAAAAAAATGAGTTCTCAGGGGAACATGTCCACCACACCAATACTTCAGTCATTACAAACAGTAAGCTAAAAGCAGAAACTCCATAAAAGGATCATTGAAAGGTTAACGCTAGTGATTGCTCAGTTTTACTTTTGGGTTGGTTTTTTTGTTCCCTTTAAAACTCTGACTAAGCTCACAAGTTTATCATGAACAGTCTTCCAATTACGTCAACAGATTCACCCAAAAACCTCAAAAATGTAAATAAAGGAACAAAGAGATGTTTTGGCAACCTTGGGATATTTTGTATCAGGAATGAGGATATATCACAGGGCACTGAACCTTGTGCACCTGCAAACTTGCCTTCTTTTGAAGAACATTGACTTTGCGTTCTTTCACATCCAGCATGTCTTTGAGGTCATGTATCTCTCCTGCTTGAGTCCCTTTCTCCTCTGCCATCTCCTGGATCTGCTTTGTCTTCTTATTTAGCATTGTCTCTTTTTCCTCCAGACGTAGTCGTAGAGCATCCACCTGAATTTACAAATGAAGAAACAAGACTGTGTTAGATAGGAAAGGAAAGAGTTACTAGAAGACACACATCATTTCCACAATAAAATGAGTGGTGTCAATCCCCAGACAGATTCTGGTAACTAATCTCCCAGTAAGACTTGTGAAATCAACCAACTCTCTGAGTGGTATCCTTCCTGTCTTAGCAATCTACCTATTGACTTTGATTGTTATCTGCTTAGGTTTAAGTACCCATTCTCCAGATACTTAATAATGCTCTGTCTCACACCCCCCATCCTTTTTCTCCCCCGTTCCCTTCCCCTCTCCTATTTATTTCGAGTTTTCATATCCCCTACTCATAACTCCAGTCATCTGAAGAAGCAGGCTGTGCCCACGAAAGCTCATGATACAATCTACATGCTTTGTTAGTCTATAAAGTGCTACCAGACCATTTGTTTGTTTTTTCTGTATCAGACTTACTCGGCTACCTCCTGAAGCTTTTTCGCAAAGATGGTTACCAGTTAAGAATGACTGATCAAACTAAGAATATGTGGAGACCTTATGCCTGTACAAAATCAGTATTTCAACATCAAAACTAAACCATAGATTTTAATCCTCAAATGGCATCTGGCTATTGGCATTTTTGTGTATATGCTGAGACGCTCATTAAAAATACCTCATCTATACCTCTGTAAGTCATAAAACTGTAATTTAAGCAATATTTTGTAATGGGAAAGGACAAATAAATGATTGCAAACATAAATACATCAGAATATTTACCATTTGCCTAAGAAGAAATTTTAAAATCCAGTTCTTACAAAACCAAGGTGGTAAAAATATATGAGAATCACAGAAAATAGGATTTTCCATCACAGATCAGGACATTTGTTTTTTCACTGGTTATTGATGGTGGCCATTGCCAAATACTTCAGAACTGCAGCAACACTCCTAAGCCCCCAGAAATATGCAATTTGCATTCTACAATACAACACTGCACACAGAAATAATCTTGTCTTATAATGAGATTTGACACAATCTTCAGCATGTAATTATCCTCTCAGTGAATCTACAGGTTGGCCATGCATTAAGTAATATATACAGTTTTCTCTAACCACATATCCTTTAGCATATCCCTTCTAAATTTACCAGACACTCATCTGACAATCTTGTATTAATATTTCAGAATTTTTCCACCTCAGTATAATGTTTCTTTGTGGGTAGTAGAAGATCTCTCAATTTTAAGAAAAGCTTCCCCCATTTGAAACATTCACAAAATACAGAGATACAAATGCTAAATAGTACTATAGCATGTTCCATCTTCCACACTTACAATACACTCTATTAATTAAGCCTGGAGGTAATATAAGTATAAATCTCTGACTACTGAAGGTCTATATGTGAAAAGAGGGGTAATGATCTTACGGTTACCTGAAGAAATTCAAAAGCATTTCTGGCTTAAATAGCAAATAAGTGGCAAAGATGGGCAACAAGTCCTGTTGGACCTTAATACCATGTAGCATCTTAATACAAGAGGATATTTCTGCAGGATATACCTTTATGCTGAAGGTAAAAGGGAACAAGGGCCACACTGCAGAACTTTGTGGGCCACCATTTGACTATACAAGCTCACCTGGATCTCCCATGGTGTCACCTGAAGGAAAAATAAATTATGGAACTTGCATAGGATCCACAAAGGGTTGTAAACTGACAAGTCTGTTTTTCCCTCAATCTTCTCCATCCATTAGACAGAGCACAAAAGGGGGAAAAAATGGAGAAGGAATCAAACATTTGAATATACATTCGATCTGAAGAAAGAGGCCACAACAGAGCAAATAACACTCTCAAAGTCCACTCTGGAATATGAAATCCGACTATACCAGGTTGTTCAAGATACCTATAGAAATCCACTGACCCTTATCCACTTGGCATTCAGGCAGAGCACAAACCAGCCATCTTAGTTGCTAATCCTATTTGACAGTATCAGATTTGGTTCCCCCCATTAGCTGAATTCATTACAGGGCATCATTCACAGTGAGTAAGTAGGGTGCTTACTGAATCCCTTGCTCCTTCTGCACAACTCAGGCTGACAGACATGAAGTAAAAAAGAAAATGTAAACAAACTCCAATCTGTCCAATGTCCTTAATTTCTTTCTCCTTACTGGCAACACTGGCCAAAGCCACAACAACTATAGTACAACTCTCACAGAAAACCCTTTGCTGCTTTGTCTGACCTGTATTATATGCAACACTGAGTCCACCCTGGTGGGGAAAAAGCAGCTCAGGTCTTCAAGTCAGCATTGCAGTCCTGGCAGCCTACACTCTTGGAGGCTTCCCACTCACTTCCACATCATTAAAATCACATTCCTAATCCCTTATCTATTACGTAAGACTATGCGGTGTGGGGTGAGAAAGAAACAAAAGATGCTTTGAATGAATATCAGTGCGATGAGTACCATTCAAATGCCAAACAGAGCAGTTATTTTTGTAAGAAAAAAATTAGCAGGCAGCTTCAAGTGGCTGAAGATTGGTCTTTGAGGTCCAAATAACATAGTTTTTGGTTTCACTAGCTCCTCATAGTCAGCCTGCATAAATAGATCAAATATGTTGTGTTTCAAAATCTTCCAGTCTTCAGATAAACAGCCTTCATTCATTCTTGAGGATAAACTAAAAATTCCCCTCACAAGCAATGCCACATGTCCCTAAATGGTTGTTATATATTAAATGAGACACCTCCGTACACAAATCCACTGAAATACTAAGTGAATATACAGTATCTGCAAACACAGAATTCTCCATAAAAGATTTTCCAACTCCTGATTGATTGACCCCTTTGAACTCTATATTGACTTATGGTTTGGAGTAAATTAAACTCCTTGGTTTATTTTGTGTGAGGTCCCTTCTTAGAGACCCACAGAAAACACTTTCAGCAAAACTCCACAAAGACTGGCAAGCACACAGTCAACATCCTACCACTGTTCTTGGCAGAATGATCTACTTGTTTATTCACACCAGCTCAGTTTATGGATGGCTTCCATCCAGACTGCCAAGAACTGAGGTCTGTGGCAGCCAGGTGATGCCAACTTCAACAAAGTCAGTGTAAGACTTTTTCTGCACACACAAATGGCTGTGAAAACAGCCACCAGGTTTTGCCACTCTTGCCTGATTTCTGCATCTTAAGTAGTATTATCTTAACCTAAAATTAACCTGCCTATTTCCATATTAATAGGTAGTCATGTCTTTAATTATATATTAGACTAAAGGTCCCCAAAGCGTGGGATATGCTCCCCTTGGTGGGATTGGGAGGACCATTTAGGGGGCGTGACAGGGCCTGGCCCAGCTCCGCCTGAGGTGGGAGTGCCAGCCAACCCCTCCCCAATCCCAGCTCTGCTCCTGTCCTATTTCCAGATACAACCTGGACTAAGGATGTTAAGTAACAGTTAATTAAGTAGTCGATGGAATTTCCATTGACTACCCGATAGGTACTGCCGCATTCCTCCTTTGAAATGTACAAGAGTCCCTGCGGGTTCCACACGTCATTTCCCCAGAACCTGGGGTCAGACAGAGACAGCAAAGTGGGGGTGGGGAGAGGAAGAGAGAGGATACTTCAAAGCTTAATTGTAGATAGGCAATTACTTATGAAACAATCATGTAGATAGGCTTGACAAATTTCAATTTCTGATCATTTTATTGGATAATATCAATTCTATTTTAAAGATTTTTTCCCCGTTTATTTAAATAAACTTTCACTGTAGTGGGATATTATGAAGAGTGGGGTCCGGCATTAATTAGCGAATGACAGCAGATATGGAGATTTAGCAAGTTAGTGCTTTACAACCATTAAATCAAATTGCCACTATCACATCAAAATATACAAACATCCTTAAACCCAGCTTTTAAAAAGCTTTTTTTTTTTTGCTTTGCATAGCTATAAGTTTGATATTACTGACCAAAAATATGTTTACATCTGTGTGCATGTGTAAAGTGAAATTGACATTTACCAACACTTACATATAAACTAATTCTTCTAAACCTATGTACAGATTACCACCCAGGGCTCGTAACCCCATGTTTTGGTATAACAGTGTATTAATATAGTTTCAAAAAACTGTTACAAGTCCAACATGGATATAGCTTTAACAATTCATATGTTCATTTAACACACTCAATGTAAACAATACACTTCTTAAGGGCTGTATTAATTTATTTTCTGAATATGAACCTCCTCACTTGCCCTATGAAATAGATTCAGGCCACAGAATCATGCCAACTTAGATAAAATACAGTAATTCCTCTTAACACGTGCCTGCATAACACGTTTTCGCGATAGCACAATTTTTTTTTTTAGGGAACGTTTTTTTAATTACACGACCGTCCCCGGAATAATACGATTTCCCCAGCTGGCCCATCACCGGTGGCTGCACAAGGCTTCCCCTGCCTCCTTGCAAAGCGGCAGATGGTTCGCCTCTCACCGCGCTGTTTCCCGCTGACTCACCCTGGGGCCCTACATGGGGCGGCCGGACCAGAACCGGGCCCGGTTCAATGACCACCTCAACCGGGCCACAATCCAGTGGAGTGCGCCTTCGGCCGCTTGAAAGCCCACTTCCGTTGTTTGCTCACCCATCTCATTGTAACCCAATCCCCTTTCTCCCTCAACCTTATGTCCCAGTTCCAACAGACACCATCGCTTGAAATGCAACCCCCACTTTTTCCATTATTTTCAGTGGGAAAATTGACCCCGCATAACACGTTTTCACTTAACATGATCATTTTCTGAAACATATCTATAGTGTTAAATGAGGAATTACTGTATACAAATAACGCAGAATATTTCAACAAATTGAACTCACTTCCTTTTGAAATCGAATACGTGCCAAAACTGAGCCAAACAAAAGGACAGAATAAAAACCTTATATTGACAGAGCCTTTCAACTCAAAAGTAAATATTGATTTTTCTTTATTTATAAATATATTATAAATTTACAGAACTATTTATGAAGACTCATTTGCATATTGACAAGTTAACC